CAACTGTCAGTATCTTATAATATAATTGATAACATATTTGATAACAGTTGATTAATTCGTATCGAATACTTTATGCGTTGGACATGTTTATTAGAAAGACCTGTACAAATATTATTTTTCAATATCTTCGATTATTTTACTTTTACATTAGAACAATTTTTGAAGGTGGCTTTGGATGGCACCATTAGTACGCAGGTAAAGTAAATGTTGAAACGGTTGATGCCGACATTATACAGGCACTACAAACACTCAATGAATAACAGATAATATATATGTAAATAGATGTTTACAAGTATGTAGAAAAATAATTTTTACATATACAATAACAATACCAGACTTTGTATGATTAAAATATTTCATTATTGACTAAGAAAAAACACTTGACTATACAATAGTCCTTTTTGTTAAAGTCCGCTGTATATTTTGAAAGATTTTGTCACAAAATAATTTGATCCCTTCCCAAAGGTAACGTACGTACCTTTCTCTTTCTTATGTCTCGATATTATATTTAAAATGCGTTCGAAAGGTAATGGACTTTTTGTGATAAAAAAAAAACATTTTTTGATAATACCGATTTTGGTCAAAATAGATCTATTTTAATTCAACACAGTATTAACACAGTATGCACTAGCCCTGAAAGCGTGAATGTTGTAAATCGTCAGTCAGAATAACTTTTAACATAGCGGTACAAGCCTTTTAGGCAAGATGTCATATTCCCCACCACTACTGAACATCTTTTTCTATTACGCTATAATTCATTATAGCTTTGTTTTATATGGTATAGACATATATGGTTCTAAAGTAGAAATTTTTTAAATGAATTTTTTATATAATCAATAATTGTCGTTTTTTTACTTTAATCAATATAAAAACTTCGTTGCAACTTTAAATCTCGATAGCTCTAAAGACAGCAGAGTAGTGGAAAAAGTGACTCCTTAATGGACATGACTGGCCGAACCCGAATCTTTATAACCAAATATCTCTTTTGAAATAGATAAAATTCGAACGGTACCAAATCAGTTAGGTCGTTTACTGTAGGAACCAAATTTATGTGTCTTTCAAAATAAGTTGTGTCAGAAATCATCATCTTGTGACATACTGTGAGATTGAGATAATCTTAGGTATTAGTTCCACTAGCATACATAAAATTTTCCAAAATTATTTAAATGATTTAAATATTTTTCTTTAGATTCCACATAATTTGATAGAAGCTCAAAAAAATAGTGTCAATTGAAAAAAAATTAGCAATACATACAATAGAGTATATTAAAGAGACGTATATAACATTGTCATTGTTAAATTGAATATTAGAACTATACGTATGAGCCTAAACAGCATTCATTTGTATGGAATATTGCTGATAAATCAAATGCAATAAAAGTGGTTCACCTTCGAATCACTTTGCCTATTTTGTTTTTGGGATAAACTGTTTGCTAAACCATTTGTTTGCTAAAAGTTTTTGGAAAAATCCGCTCAAATAACCACTAAAGATTTATAATTCTTTACAATGAGGCACTCAAACATCGATTTAAGCATATCATTTTTTCTAACCATTCAAAATATATAATTTATGGGTCATTCGCCACAAAGCCTTCATTTGGCACCTAATGACTTTATTTACCCACATCAAAGACAAATTACGTAGGCAATAAAGAAGATCTTGTCAAATATCGTCTATTTATTGTTTGATATGGGCTATCTGATTATTTTGATTTAAGAAAATATGCCTGATCTCTGGATTTTTGTGTACTGTTTGTTTTGCTATTAAGTTCGTTTTATTATTACGATTTACTTTTCAGATTTATTATTATTTATTTATTTCAGAGCTTTGTTCCGATAATGGAAAGATATATAAATTTTCTCAAAATATTTGTAACATAAGAGTTCGAATTATAGATTAATTCATTAAATTTATATGAAATGTAATGATCTGAAGGATCAGAGCCTAAGCTAAAAGATTAATGGTTTCAACAGCACACAACACGTCTTCTTTTTAGTTTGTTGCTAGAGAAATTATCCGGATTTAAAGTTTCACGTCATAGTAATGTGAATTGTTCACCAAAATTGTACGATTTGACTATTATTTGTCCGCTTAAGCGAGCGATCGTGTTTCGACTCTCAATGCATTAAAAACGAAAATCTATCAGACAAGTAATTGCAAATTACCTTAAAAGGATCCAGTACTATAAAATATCCCGTGGAGGACATTTCAATGGTGCAAGGTCCAAATAATATATTGAAATAATAATTAATTTAAAATCTCTATCACAAATGTGTTTCTTATGTTCACTTAAAGAACCACAAAATAGATAATCCTTTCTTTTTCATAAAGTCGGTATTGACTTATAATACAATACTTATAATACAGCTATTTTTTTGAAATAGATGTTTATGCTTGTAATTTTGATTTATTATATAAAATGAAATAATTCATTTGATATACTACTAAACAAAACTGTAACTCCGAAACGAATCAGTTAAATCTGCTGAATTATCTTATCACTCAATAAAGCGTGTAACTAACTAAGAAAAACAAATTTTTTTGCCAAAAATCGACTCTACTCATCAATATAATCTTCTTCAAGGGCAAAACAATCATTCCAACGCTTCTCTAACTTCGCGATGCCATGCTTGTTGAAGGATTTGTCTTTTACCTCAAAATAGGCTTCATATCTTTGCGGTTTCAGCTATCTCACGCAATTTCAATTTACGATCAGATATAACCAATTTCTGAATTTCAGAAAACATTTTGGAGAAACCACCTCAATCGGACGATCAGAACGTTCACCATCATCGGTGTCTGTACGACCACGTTTAAATTCAGTAAACCAATAACAAATTGTTCTTTTCGATGGAGCAAAATCCGGATAACACTTTTGAAGCCATTGCTGAGCTTGTACAGTATTTTTTTTCATCAAGAAGCAATGATAAATTAACACACGAAATTGTTTTGGATCCATTGTTTTGAAAATAACAAAAGTAGCTTTACTTAAATGACTGTCACTTTTTTTCTGACTAATCGAAATGTCATGAAATTTTACACATAGTCTTTTGAAGGTTGGTACTTCATAAACGTCATATGGATTTGACAATGGCAGCGCCATCTGTGAGTCAGTTCCACGACTTATTGAGTGATGTAATACTTTCAGTGTTCTATTTAAATAGAACCCTGCGATTTAATTGTAATAAATCTATTGTAGTATTATAATTCGATTGCAATAGCAATTCTATTGTGTTTATTTCAATAAATGGTATTTAATACAGAATAAATTTCAGCTTGAACTTATTATGTGTACTATAAAGTAATACGATTGTATGCGAATCAGAGAAAAAATATTGCAAATTATAAACGCTTATTTTGCGATTTTCATTAAGTATTCATTGTGTGATGTACGTCTGAGGGTGACTTTTGAAATTATTTATTAAACGTGTGGCTATTTAACAAAATGTATATTTATCTGAATTAATATTTAGAAAAGTTAATAACATTTGGTTACGAGGGCAGTCTGATAATTTAACGTTTTGAACTTGTGTAGTAATTTTAAATTTAGCAAATAGTTAACTGAAATGATATGGGTCGTTCCAGCACAAGTAACACCGATCGTTGAAGTCGTTTAAAACAAGTTGTGACGTCAAAAATCGTAGATAAAATTCATAACATAGTGCTAGACGTTCCACAAGTGATAGTTTGCGAGATGACTAAGGCTGTAGGTATCGCAACTGCTCAAATGTGATATATCACATTTTACATGAATATTTAGAATTGATAAAACTGTAAACGCGGTGGATAATAAACCTCTTCGGCTGAATGTGCATCAAAGAAGATCGAGGTGGGTTTCGATCAATGAGGTCAGGAGACATTTTTTGGGAGGCAATTGTTACATTGATTACCTTGAAAAGGGTAAAACAATTAACGACTCTTGGGAGATAAACGCTTTTGCATCAAGATACCCTAAAAAGATACTATGTTAAGAAATAAATCGCAGTCTTGCCCAAATGCTTATATATGCTTATAAGCAAAAAAGCTTTTCATGTGCTCATGTTAGTATTACCATAAATTATAACTGATGATTTTACTTACTTGTTCTGTCGGCTTGCAAAGGGAAGTTTAACAACACTCTTTTTTTGTTTCAAAGTGTATTATTATTATTTTATTTGAAATGTACTCACTTTACAAAATAAATTTTGAACTTAGACTCTTCTCAAATAGTACGTATGAATTCTTTGCATTCGTCGCTGTTTCTTGCGGAAAAACGTAGCTGGCTAAAAGTTCTATGTGTATTATTCGCTGTTGTCCTATGCCAAGTAGTTTTCAGTCAACTTGGTCTTCTCAGTGCTTGGGAATTCCATTTAATGATAACATGAGCAATTGCATCTGTTGGTGTTCTTAATGTGTGACCTAACCATCCGTATTTTCGTTGTAAAATTTCTGCTTCTATTGGTTCCTGATTGGTAAGACGACAAACGTCTTCATTTGAAATTATTGCAGACCACTGTACACAGATAGTACATCGGCTGTTCCTATTAATAAGAGTTAGGATCTTATGAATCAACGATGTAGTTCGCGACCACGTCTTACAGCCATATTTATTATATGATTTTTATAAATGCGTCAAAGTGTGTTAGTGAATGAAGTTTTCTAGAAACTAAGTAAGAGGATATGCTGTATAATCTTTAATACTTTCAGTATACTGTTGTTTTACAAAATTTAAATAAAACTTAGTTGTGGAGTTTAGTTTGATTTTTATATATCTTATTTTTAAAAACTTATTTATTTATACTTTTAAATTTGTTCCATTTAATTGATTTCATTTTTTATAGGCTTATACTTTATGGACGTATTTTATAATCCATTATATAAAAAAAAAAATTATTTTCAGAGATCTCTTCGTTTTAATCGACTAATTAATTTAAACTAATTTGGGTACCACTATTTTATATAATTACAATATGCAAAAATTGCTGACATTTTAATAACTTTATTTCCGTTTTTTTTTCAGATCTGTAACAATTTTGCGCTCTTGCATATTATCGACATCGGTTCATCAACAGCACCCTGTATTAATACATATTCAACAAAGTTAACCAACATTTTTACACTCAACGATTATTTTTATAATAATAGTAGTATGTTAAGTAAAAATAAACTATAGTATAAAAATGTATTAAGTAAATAAATAATAATACCTAAGTAACGAAATTATATATACTTGGAGAGGTGCACGACCCCTTCTATAACTAAATTTTTTTTAATTGAAAAATTTCAAAGAAAATTTTATATAAAATTTTGCCAAATTTTTGTTGTTTTTATTAGATTTATTAATTTTTTTTTTAATTATATATACACATTTTATATAAAAAATATTGACTGTAGCATTTAAATTTTATTGTATGTAATTATATCGAAAATTATTCAAAATATTAGTTCTAATACAAATATTATATTTCAATGTGATTTAAGCGATTTTATCAAAGCTATGCAAATGTTTTTGTTCGTCTTGATTAGATCTTTAAGCAATTAATGCAATTGTTGTTGTAAATGACCAAAAAGAAAAAATAACAAAAAAAAATTATTGTAAAACTTTTTTAAGTTAAAGTGCCATTAGTTAAGAAAATTTTAATTGGATTAAAATGGTTAAAATACGAGTAGTTTAAAAGTGTGTGAATGGTATGAAAGCCTTTAATCGTTTCAATCGTAAACAAAAATATTTAAGTTAACTTATTTTTGCTATCCATTTTTTCTGATTTCTTTGTAATATTTATCTTACGTATATAGAGTCAACTTTTTTTAAAAGCAAAGTTTTAACCAGGGCACGCATCTGGTTCGGTTCCGGTTTTCGTTCCTAAGAAAATATCGGTTTTTTGATTTTCGATTTGGTTCCGGTTCGATGCCCTGATATTAACAGTAATATCGGTTCCTCTCATTGGACCACAACAGTACTACATAGTAATTTTTTTGTTCTCCATTTAAACAAGTAATAAGTCATCCAATATTTTCATTTAAAAGTAATTAAATACAAATTAGAATTTGGGGATCCATGGAAAAAAAATTTTCGAAATAATTTCTTTAATTCAAAGCTGTAGATAAAAATTTATCTACATTTCTCATGTTGTTTTCTTAACATATATCAATGTCATTTTAAATTCTATTTTTCTATGTAAAGAAAAACAAAATTAATTATAGAAAAAACTATTAACATTTTTGGTCCTGTGATAGAATATATCTGCAAAGAAAATAATTTACTCATAAAACTAATTATAAAGCAGATTTATTTCTTTAACTTTCCATTTAAATCTGTTAATAAAGAGTAACACATTAACTAAAGATATTTCATAAAACTTTAGTCATTCCTTTCCGATTTACGTGGATCTCTTTAAATTTAATTATATTCCATTATAATGTATTCTAATACTAATTTATTTCCTCTTTACGAATATGTATAGATGTTAATACAAAACTATTTCTGGTTTTAACAGAACGATTAAAGCTAGATATTTATCAATTATATCTATATTACATATTGCATAAATTTTTTGTATTTAAAACAATCTATTCTTGAAAGTAGTTTAGTTTATTGTAATATATAATCATTTTGTAAAGCTTTTCAAAACGAAATAACTTTTAAAGACTTGCTGCTTCAAATACTAAATCCATAAGTGTTTGTCATAACTAAAAATCTAATTTATTTAAATATAATCATTTTAGGTTCATTAATTGAAAGACTTACCAAGATCCCACTGAGCACACATCTATAAATAATCAAAAAGTCAAAATGGCAAATACGAAACGGGCTAAGAAAACCGCAACTGCAGTTCCTGCAAAACGCGAAGAGTTTAAATTTGCCAAGAATGTAGCTGGCAAAGAAGGATCGCCAGGCTTTAATAAACTTTTAGAATTATTGCTGAAAGAAGAAGAACTTAAAACTTTGAAGGAGCAAGGAGTAAAATTTCATTACATGACTAGCATTTTAGATAAATCATACGGTAATGCACCAAATACCTTTAGTGAATTATACAATCTATGGGTTGATGATACAGGAAAGAAAACGCAATATTTAATTACTTTAGAAAAAAATAATATAAATTTTCCGAATATGTCCAGTATTTTATGTGGATCTGGAGGTAATGCTGTGAAAGCTTATAAAGACTTGTATAACCTATGATTTGACAAAAAAGGAAATAAGACACCTTACTTAGACACACTTGAAAGGCAAGTAATAAGTTTGCACAGCATGACTGGAATTTTAAGTAAATCCGGAATTAATGCCGCGAAAGCTTATAAGCACCTATACGATCTATGGTTTGATAGACATGGTAATAAAACTCGTTAATTGAAAAAACTTGAATAGCAAGGCATAAATTTATCCAATGTGTCTAGTGTTTTGAATGGTGCTAGTCCCAATGGTGCAAAATCCTTTAAGGATTTATATAACCTATGGTTTGATGATGTGGGCAATAAAACTGAGTATTTAAAAACAATTGAAAAAGAAGTAATAAATCTGTCTAATGTCACTGGTATTTAAAGCAAAGCAAAATGTAATGCAGCAAAATCATTTAAAGACTTGTTTGATCTGTGGTTTAATGAAGAGGGTAATAAATCAAAGTACTTAAAAAGCTTTGAGAAAGAAGGCATAAATCGCAACAAAATATCAAGCATTTTAAGTGGCGCTGGTTCAAATGCTAAGAAAGCTTTTGTAGACTTCTACGACTTATGCTTTAACAAAGACGGAAATAAAACAAAGTACTTAAGAAATATAGAAGAGAAGCCATATAAGTCTTAGCCATATATCTAGTATTTTGCACAAGGCTGGAAATAATACAGCAAGCATCTTTAAAAGTCTATATGGTCTTTGGTTTAATGATAAAGGAAATAAAACAGAATACTTGAATGCTATGGAAAAATAAGGTATAAATCTTTCCAATGTATCCAGTATTTTACATGGAATAGGCTCCGGTGCATCAAATGCATTTAAAGAGCTTTATGAATTGTGGTTTGATAAAGATGGAAACAAACGTCATTATTTAAAAACTTTAGACAAGGAAGATATACAACTTACTAATATATCTAGCGTATTATATGGTGCAGGTATCAATACTGCTAAAGCTTTTAAAGACATAAATTGTGGTTCGACGATCAGGAAAATAGAACACAATACTTAATAACACTGGAGTAAGAAGGAGTGAATTTATCTAATATGACGGGTATTTTAAGTAAGTCTGGATCTAATGCACCGAAAGCTTTTAAAGATTTATACAGTATTTGGTTTGATTATAAAGGAAATAAAACACCTTATTTAAATATATATAAGCTGGTAATACAAAAAATTATTTAAATAAAATAATAAATAAGAATTCTAATAATATTGCAGATATTTTGTATGAAAAAGTACGTAAAATGTAGACATATGTAACTGATAAATATTGGAAAAAAATATAAATTCAATACATAAAGTAAATTCTTAAAAAGGAGTAAATATTTATAAATTTAACAATTAAAAATTAAAATATAATTAATTAATTCAATTATTCTACAGCTGGTTTATGATTTCGTTCTAATATAAACATAGCAAGTGAATTTGTTAATAAAACTTCCACAGCAAAGTAACGAAACTCAAGAAAAATGTGAGAACTTGAAAATCAAGTACGGCTTTGGGTCAGTTGGTTAAGGAGCGCTGACTCAGATTCAAATTTGGCAGGACATGAGTTCAATCCTGGTACTTGCAATCTCAAAAATTATTTACGAATAATTAAATATAAGAACTATTTCCAAGACCACTGATGATGGTTATTTGACAATACTCGTAACAGCTGTATGGTTAGTCAAATATTCATTTAATATAATATAAAATTATTTTTGTTGTTGTAGTTCACTACTGTTTGAAAAACCGCTTTATTAAATTCATTTATATAATAAACTATCTATTGGAAATAGATTATTGAAAATTGAAATTTGGTAAGCCAATTAAATCTCCATATTAAAAATATCCTTAGTAATGAGAATATTTTCAATGTTTGATTTAATTTAATAATTTTAGAAAACAATATTTTAGATGTTCTTTTGTTTTTATTTTTGAAACTAATTTAATGCATTTTACGAAGTTAACTGTTCAGATTGTAGGCCTGCTTTAACTTTATTAGTATATATCAGGCAGATACAGTATCATTTCAAGTGCTGCTCTGTAATAGTTTGCAGTTAACATTTTTGGCAACTCGGTTAGTAATTCTTAAACTGCTATAAACTTAAATATTTTGTTTGCGATTAGAGGTTGATGATGGGTATTAAATAATAGTTATTAATATGGCACTAAACAATAAACTGTTTTATTTTAAATAAAATTTAATATTATGTATGCAATTTTTGTAAGCATTTAGTCCATTAATATATTTAATTGTAATTTAAAAAAATATATTTTACAATGTCATTTAAAAATTATTAAAATTAAAATTTTAGTAAATTAACAACGCACAACTTTTTAAAGTAATCATTTTTAACGTAGTTAAAATTTTTAAAATAAATATTCTTATATTTTATTTGAAAAAATAAGAATGATTCTTAAGTGCCCTGCATAAAAATAATATTTTTATCAATCTATAAGTTTTATATATCACTATATACATATATGTATCTAGGGCGTAACTATTCTTTAATAGTAATACTGTAATATGTAGTGACGTATTATGATTCTAGCACAAGTATTTCTTATATATGTCGATACGATACATTGTATTAACAACGAAAAATCCAAAACGACAACAAATAGTAATTTATTATTAAAATTATTAACAATGCAGTATTTTAATAAACATACCAATATTTTAAATCATATTAAAGCATTTAAAGCTAAACAATAATTTGTTGTATTAATTTTTTTATATAGATTACACAGATTTTGTAATTTATCAAATTCCAACATTTTTACTACTACTACAAATGAAAAAAAAAAGATTTTATATATATGTAAAAGCTTACATTTAAGCCAAAACAAACTCCGATATTGTATTTTAAAATAATTACTAAAACAAAAACTATCGTAGCGTAAATAATTTTTACAAAACATAAATAAATAAACGCAATTATCAAGGTACTTTTAAAACTACATAAATGAAACGCATAGTTATGCCAATAAATAAATGAAATACATTTTTAAATAAAAATACATATGAAATAATTTCATAGAAATTTATATATATACATATTTCTTTTTGTATTCATAATTTGTATAAATTTTCTGCACACTAAAATATATTTTCACTTATTATTGAGTTGTGTTATTGTATTTAA